ATCTTAATAATATGTTATTAATTGAGTTAATAAATCCATCTTAATAATATGTTATTATTATAGTTAATAAAATGTTATTACCGCCGAATCTTAGGATTTATTAAGATAACACCCGATATAATGCATAACATATTATGTTATTATTATGCTGAATCTTAATAACGTTATTATTATGTTATATTGGACCAATATATCGGCCGTTATTATTATGTTATTAAGTATAGTTAATAATATGTTATTGCCTGTAAATCTGTAATTTGCACAGTATACTTAAACAATCGTAAGCAAATTCTGGCCTAAATGCTCGAACATTTGACGCTGAAACTGTAGCCGCTCCCCCAAAGTCAAGTAGACCCACTTGTGCACGGCCGTTCTCGAGAGTTTGTTGGTACTCGCCCCGGTACCAAAGCGGTGCGCCGTCCTCATCCTTTATCACAACCAGACACAACTCTAAATGTTCTGGAACATATGCGCATTCAGGTAACAGTTCATTTTGGCCGAATTGTGTTAGAATTCCCATGCGCTCAGCGAATAATTGAACTTCGCTAAACAAAACACATGTTACTATGCCATTTGCAAGGTTTTCATTTTCAACGACACACAAGTCAACGGTCTGGCAATTAATCTGCTTTTGGCCAATGTCGGCGATGAAATATCTCTTTCTAATCAGATTTGAACATTGTTCTGTCAGCGATTGCCCATTTCCGATGTGTATCAAGTCTAGAACACTGTGTGGAACGATTTCAGATGTCGACACAACTTTGAAACGATTATGTTTCCACTTTCGGACGAATTCCACTACGGCCGTATTTTCTTCGTCGGATAGCTGCTCTGGCAGTTTCAATCGAACTGGTGTCACCATTTTCGGCTCAGCAAACACGTCCGATGATATATATCGAATGTTTTCTGCTTCTGATTCGATTTCTATTCCAATGTCAAACAAGTTTACGATCAATTTGTCGTCGTCCACAACAGCAGCGCGTAGAAAGTCTTCATCATACTTTACTAATACAACATCATTTTTGTTCAACTTTGAAAACTTTGACAGCTCCTGTTTTGGCTGTGATTCGCTGATTTTGCTCAATAAACTGACAAATAAATTGTCGTGCTGTGTCGATCGAATGAATATGTTTTTGTTTTCGTCAATGTGAGATAGTTCAACAACATCGCCCTTTCCAATTGGAGCATATTTTAGTCGATCAAGTTTGGGTTTGAAAATCAGGTTCCATTCAATGTGAGACGACTGTGACTGTATATCTGTTTCGCTCCCGTTGTCACTTACATCAGCCAAATATCCGTGATTGGGACGAGTTTGCAAAATCGCTGTAAATTAAAAAAAAAATGAATTGGCAACCAATTAAGAAAAATACGGCCGATACTATGTTTTATAAATGTATACCGAAATTGCATTCAGATGCCTGCGATAATATTCCGTCTAGCCGATGCAGATCGCTTACTACGGAAGAATGACTTTCCATTTTTTGCTTTATTTTTCTATATTTTCCGAAATACGCACAAATATTAAACCTTATTTCTATTGACTAGATCGAGAGGAGAGTAAGTTCATCTGACTTTGTTGTGAAAGAGAAGAGTAAGTTTCTTTCGACTCAAAAATGGTTAAAGGCGAGTATGTTCATTTTTGGCGGGTCCTCGCGGTTTTCCACGGTTTCCGCGGAACTGATAAAAGATAACAACTTGGTGTCTTCGGCAAAGTTGTAGCACTCGAGGTCTTCTATAACATTGCTGAAGTCAGTTATCTCTTATCTCTTATCAGTTCCGCGAAAAGCGCGAAAAATGATAAGAAAAAAAAAGTTCTATATAAAATTTGCTTTTTTATGTGCGCGATTTGCGCGCAACTGATAAGTGATAAGAGATAGATGTCTTCAGCAATGTTAAAGAAAACCTCAAGTGCTACAACTTTGCCGAAGACACCATGTTGTTATCTTTTATCAGTTTCGCGGAAACCGTGAAAAACCGCGGAGGCTAGACGGGATGCCAACATACTTCCTTTTAACGCAGATAGAATCAACAGAAATCATACTCTCCTCTTTCAAAATATATTAGAATTTTTTCACATACTCTCCTCTCGATCTAGTCAATAGATTTTCCCGTCGTATTTTGCTTGTGTCAAAAATATTGTCCGAAAAGTGAATGAAGTGAAAGTGTGAAGTTGGTTGTAATATGAAATGTGACGGAATATGAAACGAACATACAACGTTTGACATTAGTCGACTGACAGATTAGCCGAATATTTATGCGCACATTGATACTTCTCGGTAGATATAAATATTGAATAATTTTTCAAAACCTTGTAAAAAAGTTAATCGGCCGTAGTGAAAATTGTTATTAAACCAAAAAAAAGTTTATTCTAAGCAATAAGAGTCGATACCATAGTGATTACAGTCATGGCTGAAGTAGTATAGAAATGTACATTTCGTCCAACCATAGGTGCCAGAGGGGGGTTCATTTTCATGTGAAATGCACCGCGGGGACAAGAGGGAAGAAAAAACCAAAATATCAGAGGGAAAATGAGGAAAAACACACAGATATCACGCATGCGCGAGGGGAAAAGACAATTCCCCATATTTGCATCGGATATCACGCATGCGCATATTCTTTTTCTCCACAAAAACTTTCCCCACATTTGCATTCGCATGGAAAATGAACCACATATGATTGGATGAAACATACATCCTAATTTGTGTGAGTGAAAAAAAGGAGATGAATATCCAGTCACGCGATACATGCAAATTTATTTATCCTTAGTCTGGATGTAAAGTATAGAAAGTTTTTGTTAAAAAAAATTCAGTCAATAGATGCAGATTGATATTTATCGCGATTCGTATCGCAGGTAAGTGAACAGCTGGACTCTCCAAGCTAAAAAAAACAATTATGAATCATTGTGAACTAGATCTTCGAATAGATAACACATAACAACAACATTTGATCTCTTGAATTTTATTGTTAAGGGTTGTGCGCATAGAATTGTCAATTGACAAGTTTTGTAAACATATTCACATGCTGATTTAAAGAATAACGGATGGAAAATTGATTTCTTTTCTATATAGGATTCCAAATCCCATCATCAGTTGTTGTTGCTGGTGTTGTTGTTGTTGTTGTTAATGTCGCTATTGGTGGTGGTGTTTCTGTTGCTGCAGTTGATGAAGAC